AGATGTTTGAGTCTTGGATTAAATCCACTCTTGCCCATGTAAGGAGAAAAACCCAAACCCTCCAGTTTCCTGTAGGGTTAAAGGTCATAGGCAGCATAGCCAGATTCCTCGGCCCCTGCCTCTGAGGAAGGGGCAGGAGTGTGATGGCCTGAACTGTGTCCCCCTCAAATTCATAGGCTGAAGTCCTAACCCCTAGTAGCTCAGAATGTGACTGTGTTTGGAGAAAGGGCCTTTAAAGGTGATTAAGGTAAAATAAGGTCATATGGGTGGGCCCTAATCCAATAGGACTGGTGTCCTTATCAGAAAAGAAAAATTTGCAAGCCAAGGAAAGAGGCCTTGCAAGAAACCAAACCTGCTGACACCTTGGTCTTAGACTTCCGGCCTCCAGGCCTGTGAGAAATCAGATTTCTGTTGGTTAAGCCATCAGTCCATGGTGTTTTGTTAAGGGTGCCCAAACAGACATGGGGCGTGGAGGTACAGTGCCGAGAAGGCCTCAGTGGCTGCTGGGCCAAAACAAAAGCCAGGCTTGATGGCGATGCAGACTTAGAAAGCTTGTTTCGTTCCCAGTGGCCCACGCTCATGTCGCTGCCAACTCCACGGATGGCCTCCATCTGCATGCTGCCAACTCCTTAGTACCTCAAAAGTTTACAGCAGCCAAAAACAAAGGTCAATGATGGCAGCCACCAGGACACTCAGCTGTGCTGAGAGCAATGGGACTCAAACCTACGGTGGGAGAGACAGCAAAAGGGAGGCTGCCCACCTCTGACTGGGGCCCTCACACAGCCACTCCCATGAGCTGCAAGGCCCCAGAAATCCATGTAGGTTGATTCTGACCACGGTTTGTTGAGTACCTGCATATTGTGGACATTAAGCTATGTGATACAAAGATGAATGGATCTTGGGCCAGGCATGGTGGCTCACACTTGTAATCCCAGCACTTTGGGAGGCGGAGGTGGGCAGATCACTCGAGGTCAGGAGTTTGAGACCGGCCTGGCCAACATGGTGAAACCCCGTCTCTACTAAAAATACAAAAATTAGCCAGGCATGGTGGCGCATGCCTGTAGTCCCAGCTGCTGAGGTGGGAGGATCACTTGAACCTCGGAGGCGGAGGGTGCAGTGAGCTGAGATGGCGCCACTGCACTCCAGCCTGGGCGTCAGAGTTAGACTCTGTCTCAAAAAAAAAAAAAAAAGATAAATGGCTCTCAGGGCCTAGTAGGTGATCAGATGGTTAGCCGTGTAATTACCCCACCATAATCTACTTGTAATAATGGAAGCCTAATCAAGATACCGAAGCAGAAAAGCGTAGTGAGTAATTAGCTCTGTCAGGAAGGGGAAGTTCAGTGAAGGCTTCAAAGAGATGGTGTTATCAGCAGGATTTTCAAGACAGAACTGGAGGCCACAAGCAAACAAGAGGCTGAGAAAGGCATTCTAGACTGACTTGCCAGCAAGGTGGAGAGGTTTAAGAATGCACAGGGGATTCACCGAACTAAATGCAGTATGATGCTGTGGAGTGAGGCAGGAAATGGGACCGGTGAAGCAAGAAGGCACTAGAACACACAAGGTTTCATCTGCTGGCTGAAGAGCTTGCCCTCCCCAGCCCCACTGGATGGGAGAGTAAAAAGAAGCTTTAAAACAGAGAAACCAGGCCAGGTGCGGTGGCTCATGCCTGTAATCCCAGCACTTTGGGAGGCCGAGGCAGGTGGATCACGAGGTCAAGAGATCAAGACCATCCTGGTCAACATGGTGAAACCCCATCTCTACTAAAAATACAAAAATTCAGCTGGGCATGGTGGCGTGTGCCTGTAATCCCAGCTACTCAGGAGGCTGAGGCAGGAGAATTGCCTGAACCCAGGAGGCGGAGGTTGCGGTGAGCCGAGATCGTGCCATTGCACTCCAGCCTGGGTAACAAGAGTGAAACTCCGTCTCAAAAAAAAAAAAAAAAAAAAAAAAAAAAAAAACCAGAGAAACCACCAGGTTGGGCTTGTGTTTTACATGGACTGCTCAGGGCTGGGCACAGTGGCTCACACCTGTAATCCCAGCACTTTGGGAGGCCAAGGCAGGTGGATCACTTGAGGCCAGGAATTCAAGAGCAGCCTGGCCAACATGGTGAAACCCCCATCTCCACTAAAAATACAAAAAAAATGAGCTGGGTATGGTGGCTCACACCTGTAATCCCAGCACTTTGGGAGGCTGAGGCAGGTAGATTACTTGAGGCCAGGAGTTTGAGACTAGCCTGGCCAACATGGTGAAACCCCATCTCCACTAAAAATACAAAAAAATTAGCCTGGCGTGGTGATTCATGCCTGTAATCCCAGCTACGTGGGAGGCTGAGGCAGGAGAATCATTTGAACCCAGGAGATGGAGGCTGCAGTGAGCCGAGATTGTGCCACTGCACTCCAGCCTGGGTAGCAGAGCAAGACTCCATCTCAAAGAAAAGGACTGAAGGACTACTCCTCAGACAGCAGGGACAGGCAGGATGCTGGGGTAGAAGGTCAAGGCCAAAACCCAAGCACAAAACATGAAAGGCCTATGCTAAGGTAGAGCAGGCCTCCTTTGAAATCTCTTGTTTACTTGGACAGGTCCTACCCTTCTTCCCAGCCAGGCTTGGAGAATTACACCCACCAGTTCACTGAGGTTTTAGAAACGAGCCAGTAAGAAGCTGAGAGAGGAAACTGAGATACTCATGTGCTGTGCAGGAAACACAATGTCCCCGGACCCCAGCAGTTAGTGATACATTTCTTGAGAAACAAACCAAAATAAGCCACTGACTTTGCCAAGATAAAAGCAGTGTCGCTAGTGGCCTAGCCAAGGGGAGTCTTATTGTGTCTCTGGCCTATTTCCTATTCATCAAGCTCCATCAGCAGCTCCAAGCCTCAGCTTGACACAGGACGGGGCTGCTCTCTTGCCCCTTTCATCCCACAGGAAGGCTGGACGCCCAACCATCAGTTCGGGCACATTGGAGGGATTTAAAAGTGACACTTGTGATGACAGCCAGGATTCCCATTTAGAATCCTGAGCCTGGCTATTTCCAGACGCCAGCCACACCCTCACTAGGCAGCATTCTTCTCTAAAGCTGAGTCACGTTCACTTTCACCCCTTCCCCAAAGCACCTTCCATTGTGATGCGGGAGGAAAGATCAGACAGGCTTTACTGCTTACTAGCTGTGTGACCTTGGGCAAGTTACTTAACCTCTCTGAGCTTGTCTCCTCTATAAAATACAGATAATAACAACAGCTCTATATTGAGGTTATATAAGGAGATAATATAAATGCTAAAGGCCTGTACTCATTTTCTTTTCTTTTTTTTTTTTTTTTTGTTGAGACAGGGTCTTGCTCTGTTGCCCAGGCTGGAGTGCAGTGGTGCAATCATAGCCCACAGCAACCTTGAATTCCTGGGCTCAAGCAATCCTCCTGCCTCAGCCTCCTGAGTAGCTGGGGCTATAGGCACGCACCACCATACCTGGATAAGTTTTTAATTGTTCTGTACAACTGAGGTCTCACTATGTTGCCCAGGTTGGTCTTGAACTTGAACTCAAAATCACTAGGCTCAAGTGGTCTTCCTGCCTTGGCATCCCAAAGGGCTAGGATTAAAGGTGGGAGCCACCGTGCCTGGCCTGTGCTTACATCTATTGAAGGGAGTGAAGCAAAAAGGAGAGGGAGGAGCAGCTGGAGAAGAAAAAGAAGGAAGAGGAGAAGGAGAAGGAATTCTGGAGTCAGATGATGCTGGGTTCAAATCTCTGCTCAACCATTTCCTGGCTGGGTGACTTCAGGCAAGTTACTTGCCCTCTCTGACCTACAGTTTCCTCCTCTGTAAAACAGGGATAATACTGCCTATCCTTGCAAAGGGATTTCGAAAGAGAACAGATTTTCTGAAATCAGAGCCACTGCTTTCTCATCCCTGAGTGGTGCTTGGGGGAAAATCTGGTTTACGTTTGAATCCTCCTGAGCAGCCCAGCTCTGCCACCCTAGATGAGGGTGAGCATGGCGAAGCAAAGAGAGGCCTGTTTCTAGGAGGCCAGGGCTCCCCGCCACACTCACATCCCTGGAAACACTGCTCTCCTTCATCAATTCCCAGGGGAGGCCGCTGAGCTCCCTGCAACTCAACTGCATTCTCTCTGGACAAAGGAGACGGGAGAGCCTGGCTCGTCTCTCCCTGGCCCCAAACATCTTCACTTGTGAACGGGAGAACACTCCCCCTCTGCCCTGGCTGGGGAGCACCGGGAGATGTGGAACATGCATTTGCTAAGCAGACCCTGAAGCACTGCTTCCCAACGTCTTAGGACCCTCCAGAATAGGCAAGTTATTTTAAGCCTCTCCTGAGCCCAAGGCATGAGCAACTGAGACAAATGGCTTCGGGATGAGAACCAGAAGGGTTTTTAAGACCTCTGATTCTGCCAGAAACACACTTAAAATTTAAAAAATTTAAAGCTCCTTGCTGCACTTGGGTTCACTTTGTGCTAGGCTTTGGTTCATAGGAAGTCAAAGCAAAACCCCAAACCCTCAAATCAATGAATCACGACAAAACACTCGCCCTCTTCCCCGCTGTCCTGGGCAAGGAGGGACTGAGATGGAGCAGAGATGCAGGCAGTGCTGCTCTCCTGCCAATGGTTTCAGATGGGGACAGACGGAGGCTGGTGTTGAAATCTGTTTCTTTTTTTAAGAAGGAATGGGGCAGGGAAGGCAGCCAGAGCAGGTTGGCCTGAGGCCCCCACCAAGCATCCGCAGGCAGGCCAAGTCACCTCAGGTGTAAGGCAGGCAGGTGGCAAAGGGAATGAGGGCTCGAAGAGCAGCAGCTAGGCCCTTGGAAACACTGCCAAGTTGGGGGTGTGGAATGAGAACCCACAGTCTCTCAGGAGCAGTTTCTGTATCAGAATTTGGGGCTCAAACATGTGGCCAGGCAGCAAGTTACACGCCCCTACTATCAGACCACAAAGCACTTATCACCTCTCAGCCTCTGAAAGAGAAACACTGGGGTTCCTCCAGCGCTCCCCACCATCTTACTTTTGCTAGGTAGCTCTTCTTGGCCCAGGCTGTTGGAGGGAGCCAGTGGGGCACTGCCACCCTCGTCCAAGGTCAGGATGAGGGGCACGTCGTCATCCAAACTCACAGCCATGTTCTCTTCTCCTGTGGCCCTCAGGATGTGACGTCCAAGGCTTGAAACACTTTCTGGTTTGAGCTCCCTTTCAAAGCCACTGGACCAGACGTGCTGCTCAGAAACTCCTCCATGAGAGGCATCTTCTAGGGTTTGAGAATTAAAAATATAAAGGATAATTATTAAAACACAGCCATGACTGATTAATATATTCTGATATTAGTGGTGATGGTTACACAACCTTGTGAATAAAAACCACTAAATTATACTCTTTGAAATGGTGAATTAGAGCCAGGCGTGGTGGCTCACACCTGTAATCCCAGCACTTTGGGAGGCCGAGGTAGGTGGATCACTTGAGCCAGGAGTTCAAGACCAGCCTGGCCAACACAGCGAAACCCCATCTCTACTAAAAATACATACCTGGGCTTGGTGGTGGGTACATGTAATCCCAGCTACTCGGGAAGCTGAGGCACACAACTAGCTTGAACCCAGGAGGTGGAGGTTGCAGTGAGCTGAGATCACACCACTGCACTTTAGCCTGGGTAACAGAGTCTCTAAATAAATAAATAATAAAATGGTAAATTATATCTCAATTTAAGAAAACTGGCCAGTGGGGTACCTCACATCTATAAACCCAGGATTTTGTAAGGCTGAGGTGGGAAGATCAATTAAGGCCAGGAATTTGAAACCAGTGTGAGCAATATAGCAATACCCTATCTCTATAAAAAAAATTTTTTTTAATAGCCAGTTGCATCAGCATACACACAGAAAAAATACATATTTAAAATACAAAAATAAATAAAATTAGCTGGTCAGGTGGCATGTACCTGTAGTTTCAGCTACTCAGAATGCTCACTTGAGCCCAGGAGTTCAAGGCTACAGTGAGCTAGGACTGTACCACTGCACTCTGGCCTGGGCAACAGTGACACTCCGTCTCTGAAAAAATAAAAGAATCGCACTGGGCACATTGGTTCACACTTGTAATCCCAGTACTTAGGGAGGCAGGCGGATCACGAGATTAGGAGTTTGAGACCAGCCTGGCCATTATGGTGAAACCGTTTTTACTTAAAATACAAAAATTAACTGGACGTGGTGGCACACGCCTGTAATCCCAGCTACTTGGGAGGCTGAGGTAGGAGAATCACTTGAAACTGGAAGGTGGAGATTGCAGTGAGCTGAGATGGAGCCACTGCACTGCAGACTGGGTGACAGGGTGAGACTCGATCTCAAAAAAATAAATAAAAAGAATTATAGAAAAAAAAAGAATTGGCCGGGCGCGGTGGCTCACGCTTGTAATCCCAGCACTTTGGGAGGCCGAGGCTGGTGGATCACGAGGTCAAGAGATCGAGACCACCCTGGTCAAAATGGTGAAACCCCGTCTCTACTAAAAATACAAAAATTAGCTGGGCATGGTGGCACATGCCTGTAATCCCAGCTACTCAGGAGGCTGAGGCAGGAGAATTGCCTGAACCCAGGAGACGGAGGTTGCGGTGAGCCGAGATTGCGCCATTGCACTCCAGCCTGGGTAACAAGAGCGAAACTCCGTCTCAAAAAAAAAAAAAAAAAAAAAGAATTATTACAGTATAATAGCATTAAAATATGGACGAGGGGAATGCTGTAAGAACAAATACAGAAAAGTCAAGGAAAATTCTGTCTGGAGAGTGAGATTAGGGCTAATATGTTCTACCTCCACTTCTCTTTATATTTATTTCTAAGTTTTGTAACAACTTTAAAGAAAAAAATAGGCTGGGCACAGTGGCTCCCACCTGTAATCCCAGCACTTTGAGAAATCAAGGTGGGAGAATGGCTTGAGCTTAGCAGTTCAAGACCAGCCTGGGCAGTGTAGCAAGACTCCATCTCTACAAAATAAAAATTTTAAATTAGCTGGGCATGATGGCATGCGCCTGCAGGCCTAGCTGCTTGGGAGGCTGAGGTGGGGGAAACACTTGAGCCCCGGAGCTGGATTTATAGTGAGCTATGATCACAGCACTGCAGTCCAGCCTGGGCAAGGGTGAAACCCTGTCTCTAAAAAGATAAAATAAAAGGCCGGGTGTGGTGGCTCACGCCTATAATCCCAGCACTTTGGAAGGCTGAGACAGGCGGATCACCTGAGGTAGGAGTTTGAGACCAGCCTGGCCAACATGGTGAAACCCTGTCTCTACTAAAAATATAAAAATTAGCTGGGTGTGGTGGTGGGCGCCTCTAATTCTAGCTACTCAGGAGGTTGAGGCAGGAGAATCGCTTGAACCTGGGAGGCAAAGTTTGGCATGAGCCGAGATCACGCCACTGTACTGCAGCCTGGGCGACAGAGCCAGACTTCATCTCAAATAAATAAATAATAAAATAAAATGACAAAAAAATACAATTAAAGTTAACAGTTAATACTCAATGAGTGCTTACTATGAATGAGGGACCCTACTAGCACTCCGTAAGTAAAAGTCAACTGAAAATTCTTAATAACCTCATGAGATAGGTAGGCTTATTATCTCCCTGTTACAGGATGGGGGTGGGGGATACTTCAGGCACAGAGAGGTTACGCATCCTGCCCAAGGACCCACACAGCTAAAAAGAGCCAAGCTTTCAACTATACGGTCTGACTCCGAACCTGTGTTCTTAGCCATTACACTAGAATTCCTCGAAGTCTGGACTGTGTATTTAGGTAGCTCCGAGCTTTAATCACCAATATATACTTGTATGAAAATACAGATTTAAAATACATCTTTCACTTTAGCTTTACCAAGCAGCCTCTCAGGAACAATTAGAAACATACTTCCAAAATGTATCATTTTTATATCATTTGTATTATTCTTATATAGGAGTTGTTCTCTTAGATTTACCTGTCTGACGAAGGGGACAAGTGTATTCTTTTTAAGTGATGAGTGTTTTTTAACACAGTAAAAGTGCTCATCCTTAACTCCAAATTTAAAACACTCAGAACAGCCAGGCACAGTGGCTTACCCCTGTAATCCCAGCACTTTGGGAGACCGAGGTGGGTGGATCACCTGAGGTCAGGAGTTCAAGACCAGCCTGGCCAACATGGTGAAACCCCATCTCTACTAAAAATACAAAAATTACCCAGGCATGGTGGCACACGCCTATAATCCCAGCTACTTGGGAGGCTGAGGCAGAAGATAGCCTGAACTCAGGAGGCAGGGCTTACAGCGAGTCAAGATTGCGCCACTGCACTCCAGTCTGGATGACAGAGCAAGACTCCATCACAAAAAAAAAAAACATTCAGAGCAGCCAGGCACGGTGGCTTACGCCTGTAATCCCAGCACTTTGAGAGGCTGAGGTGGGTGGATCACCTGAAGTCAGGAGTTTGAGGCCAGCCTGGCCAACATGCTAAAACCTGGTATCTACTAAAAATATAGAAATTAGCCAGGTGTGGTGGCGCCTGCCGGTAATCCCAACTACTGGGGAGGCGAGGCAGGAGAATTACTTGAATCCAGGAGGCAGAGGTTGCAGTGAGCCGATCGTTCCACTGCACTCCAACCTGGGTGACAGAGCGAGACTCCGTCTCAAAAAATAAATTAATAAATTAAAAATTTAAAAATAAATAAAACACTCTGAGCTAGCCTGTTACAGCTCCTATTTATGCACATTCCCATTTCCGCTGAGGACCAAACAACAACAAAAAAGACTCAGCAGATCTGACCACAGACCTTTGAACTTGCAAACAGCAGCAGGCTCCTTCCTCAAGCTGTGGGCTCTGGGCTCAACCCACTTTGCCTCCTAACTGACCTAGTCAATTGCAACTGGGCAACTGACTTCCGCGAATCATTGGAACAACTCCGAGCAAAGCCTTGTGCATCCACAGAGAGCGGTACATCTTTTTAAAACAAGGCAGCAAAAGTAAACACCGTTCTACTTGCTGCTAAGCTCCGTAGCTCTGTGCCCAGCACACTTCCTGTGAGTTTTTTTTTTTTTTAAGTTTCCTCCAGATCTGGGGGTTTATTTTGCTTTTAAAAGTCTCAGCAGTAGAGAGGCAGAAGAGGAAATCCCAGATGAAACGCTACTATTTGGCAGTCGTAAGAACTATGGTTGTATTATCTTTTTGGTTTAACTTTTTACCACAGATATTTTCAAACATACTCAATACTTAAACTTCCCTGTAGCCATTACTCAGCTTTGACAATTCCCTCCTATATTTACTTTGAAGGCAGGAGAATTTATTAACTCACAGAGAAGAGGTTTCTTAATGTTACTATTATCATAATGGCTAGTGGTTTCTACATTTTAACTCACGGCTGTTCAACCTTTTGGCTACCCTGGGCCACACTGGAAGAACTGTCTTGGGCCACACATAAAACACACTAACAATGAGCTAAAAAAAAAAAAAAAAAAGGTGTGGGGGGTGGCGTTCGCGCATAATTTCCATATCTGCCACACAGATAAGCAAAGAAGTCCTCCAATTCAGAAGGTTGGACACGGTTAACTGTTTAATATATGACTGCTTGTCTGCCTGTGTTGTCTTTGCTCATTGGTTTCAACTGGGGTGAATTTTGCCCCCACGGGGACATCAGCAGTGTCTGAAGACATCTTTGACTGTCACAGCTTGGGAGTGGGGGGGATTGCTGGTGGGTGAAGTCTGGGGATGCCACTGAACGTGCTACAATGCGCAGGTCAGACCTCCAGAAACAAAGAATTACGTAGCTCAAAATGTCAACTGAGCTGCTGTTGAAAAATTCTATCTTAGCCTATATCCCCACTTTACGAATGAGGAAATTGAAGCTTGGAGTGATTAACTTAACTTGCCTCTTCTAAGTTTCAACCCAGGCAGTCTGAACTCAGGGACCCTCCCTGCTTAACCATTACTCTATATACACTTACAACTAGAACCAGTCCCCCGATTTGAATTCAAACACATCATTTTTCCAGGGAGACTTAAAATGAGGCCCAGAGAGGGGAAGAGACTTGCCCAAGGTCACACAGTCCAGAAGCAGGGCTAGAACCCAGGACTCCTGAGTCCCGGTTCTGAGTGAGTCCCGGTCCAGTGTTCCCTCCGCGGGCTTTGCTTCCGCCTCTAGAGAGAACCCAAATGGCCAGCCCTGAGGAAAGGGCCCAGGGGAAGAGAGGGCCAGCTGCCATCCCGCTGTCCGCTGGGGCAGCTGACCCGGGCACTAGACTCCTGCGGGGTCACCTGAGGGCGCCAGGGAGAAGGGCGAGGGAGGGAGGAAGGAGGGCGCAGGAGCGCCGGCTCCAGCTCCACGTGCTCCCACCCCCTGGCTGGGCGCCCACGTGAGGGTCGTCCCAAGAAGTTGGGGGCGAAGAGAGGGAATGCAAAGCCCCCGCCAGGGCTGGACGGAGAGAAGCGCGCCGGAGCCTTCCCCGCGGCCCCTCCGGGCCCGTCCAGCCCACCTCCCACACCAGACTGCCGCGCCGCAACCCCTTACTCCGCGCCCTCTGACCTCTGGTCCCTGCCCTCTCCCTCGGGCCAAGCCCTCGCATCCCTCGGATTCTTACACGCGCCGCCCCAGCAACCCGGACCACGCGCCGGGGTCCGCACTGCGCAGCCCAGCCCTCCGGCGCCGCCGCCAAAACCCCGAGCCCGAAGCTGTTGCAGCCGCCGCAGCTGCAGCTACTTCAGCCACTGCCACCACGGCAGCTGCGCCAGCTCTCCCATCCACCGCCTACCGTCCTCTCAACCCCGCTGGCTCCGCCCCTTTTCCCCTTGACAGCGACCTACTGGCTAACTGGGATACCATGGTGAGTTCTAATTGGCCACATCTCACGTCCTTCCGCAGGTCTCGCCCGCTGCCGATGCAGTACTCCCTGGCCCGCCTCCTTAAGAAGGGGCAGGACGAAGAATCCACGCCCCTTTCTCCTCCCATCTTCCCCGCCTTACTCTTTGAGGCCAACCCAGAGGGAGTCCCAAGTCTTTCTATTGGTGGAAGGTCAAAATGACGGTGCTTCTGATTGGTCAGGCTTCAGGAGGTGGGGACAACTGAGAGGAACAAGGAATTGAATGGTGAAAAGAAAGGTCAGTCAGACGCCGAGTCCCGCCTTCTGAGATTGGCGAGTAACCTAGCAACGCAGGGACCGCGGCGATAACTGTGGCTAGGGAAACCTGGAGACTTCAGAGCAGGTGAGTAACCAGGTAGGGAAGGGTCGCGGATCGGGGGAGATGTGAAATGGGGTTCAGCTCGTTGCCCTTTGGCTCCCTGAGGAGTCAGTGGCTCCCGCTGCGATCCCGTCTCAGCTTCAGGACCCTGTTCCTCAGCCCCAACCTCAGTCTAGACCTCTCACTCCACAGTCTGCAGGGAGCCGGCCTCCATTCTGCCCTTTCTTCTTGCCCACTTCAAGGCCCCACTCCCCCATCCCTAAAACGAGGAGGACACCAGTCAAGCAGAGTCACATCGTAGTTAGCTTATTTCAAGTCAAACAAGTGGGAGGGAAGTTTCTAAGTCCCCTGCCATTCCACCCAACGGCCATACGTTCCTCGGTGAGCATGTAATCCCAGCACTTTGGGAGGTCCAGGTGGGCGGATCACGAGGTCAGGAGATCGCGACCATTCTGGCCAACATGGTGACACCCCGTCTTTACTAAAAATACAAAAATTAGCTGGGCATGCTGGCGGACCCCTATAATCCTAGATACTTAGGGGGCTGAGGCAGGAGAATCGCTTGAACTTGGGAGGCGGAGGTTGCGGTGAGCCAAGATCACACCACTAACACTCCAGCCTGGAAGACAGAGTGAGATCCTGTCTCAAAAATAAATAAACTAACATATAACCTAGCAATTCCACTCTTAGGAATGTGTTGAGAAATGCTGACTGTATGATAAATAAATTGTTTGCTAAGAAGAACAATGGCAAGGAAAACCTAGCCGTGGGCCCCCTGCCCAAGTGGAAAACTACTTGGGGCATTCTAAAGTAGCAAGACAGTATATGTAAATCGTACACCGGTTGAAACAAGTCTTTATGCGCGAGATGTGTGACCCTGCCCCCGTGGCTCCCTCGTGGAGAATGCTTTCTGGTTTGTCTGTGATCAGTGGTGAGCAGGCACCAGCTGCCTACCTACTTTATTTTTGTTCTATGAGAAAACACAGAACACCTGTTTGTTAATAATAATCACCTGTTCAGAGAGAATAACTACGTGAGTCAGAATCTGCTTGAGTCCCTCAGCCTGGAATGCTGTCAGCCCCTGAGGCTCTCAGCTCTGAAGGCTGTTGGTCCCCGGATAGTCCCACCTTGCTGTTCTTCCTGGGTGTCTGCTTCTTAATGCCTTCAGCACTGCCTGGGTGGGGGTCTGTATGGCCAAGCTGGTCTCTGTAGGAATGTACACCCACCAAGTGAAAACATATGTTCCCAGAAAGACTTAAATATAAATATTCTTAGCAACATCACCCTTACTGGCCCCAAACTGGAAACAAACCAAATGTTATCAACAGGTGAATGGATAAACAACTCGTGATATTTCCATAGAATGGAATATTATTCAGCAATTAAATACTATTCAGGAACAAAATACTAATTATTGCTGTAACCTGGATGAACCTCAAAACATGTTAAGTCAAGGGTTTTTGGCCCAGTAGCTCATGCCTGTAATCCCAACAATTTGGGAGGCCAAGGCAGGCGGATCGTTTGAGCCTAGGAGTTTGAGACCAGCCTGGCAACAAAGTGAGACCCCATCTTTACAAAAAATACAAATATTAGCTGGACGTGGTGGCATGTGCCTGTAGTCTCAACTATTCAGGAGGCTGAGGTGGGAAGATCACCTGAGCCCAGGGAGGTCAAGGCTGCAGTGAGCCATGATTGCACCACTGCACTCCAGCCTGGGTGACAGAGTAAGACCCTATCTTTAGAAAAAACAAAAGTCAAGATTTTTCGACCTTAGCTCTGTTGACATTTTGAGCAAGATAATTCCTTGTTGTGGGGGACTATCCTGCCAATTGTCAGATGTTTAGCAATAACACGAACCTCTACCCACAAGATACCAGTAGTAGACTCTCTCAGTTGTAATAAGCAAGTGCGTTTCCGGATTATTGCCAAATGTCTTTTGGAGGGCAAAGTTGCCCCCAGGTTGAAAACCACTGTGCTAAGCAAAAAGTTAGATGCCAACGATTACATACTGTATTATCCCATTTATGTGAACTATCCAGGAAAGTTAAATGTGAGTGGAGGCCGAGGGCAGTGGCTCATGCCTATAATCCCAGTATTTTGGGAGGCCAAGGCAGGCGGATCACTTGAGCCCAGTAATTTGAGACCAGTTTGGGCAACATGGTGAAATCCCGTCTCTCCTAAAAACACAAAAATTAGCAAATCTTGTCTCTCCTAAAAATACAAAACTTAGCCAGGCGTGGTGGTACACCCCTGTAATTCCACTACTCGGGAGACTGAGGCATGAGAATTCCTTGAACCAGGAGGCAGAGGTTGCAGTGAGCCTAGGTCGCACCACTGCACTCCAGCGTGAGTTACAGAGTGAGACTGAATCTCAAAAACAAAACAACTACAACAAAAAATGTGAGTGGAAACAGATTGTTTGCAGATTAGCTCATGGGAATTTGGGAGAGTGACAGAAATGTTCTAAAACTGTAGTGTAGTGTTGTGGCAACTTTAGATACAGTTACAAAAATAGTCATTGACTTTTACACTTACAGTGGGTGAATTTTATGGTAATGTAAATTATACCTCAGTAGAGCTGTAAAAAAAAAATTACCCGTGTGATTAGTACTATGCAGGAAAGGTGAGCGTTTCCACAGGTTGTAAAGGGCTATTTGTTCCAGTGTGAGGAGGGGTAGGAATTGAGCTAAGACCGAAAGAATAAGAAATTGTTAATCTAGGGAGAAATTGTTAATCAGGGGTTGGTTTCTGACAAAAGGAACATTATACATTAGTGCCTGAGAGCAGGAGGGCTTTGAGATAGGCTGTGTTGTTTTGTTTTGTTTTTGAGATGGAGTCTTGCTCTGTGGCCGAGGTTGGAGTGCGGTGGTACAATCTCGGCTCACTGCAACCTCTGCCTCTTGGGTTGAAGCGATTCTCCTGCCTCGGCCTACCAGGTAGCTGGGATTACAGGTGCCCACCACCATGTGCTGCTAATTTTTGTATTTTTAGTAGAGACAGGGTTTTACCATGTTGGCCAGGCTTGCTCTCAAACTCTTGACCTCAGGTGATCCACCCGCCTCAGCCTCCCAAAGTGCTGGGATTATAGGAGTCAGCCACCATAGCCAACCTTGTTTCATTTATTTTTAACACTAGTCCCAATTGGCAAGTTGATTTCACTGCCCAGTAAAAGGTTGTAACCCTAAGATTTTTTTTTCTTTTTTTTTTTTGAGATGGAGTCTCACTCTGTTGCCAGGCTGGAGTGCAGTGGCGTGATCTCAGCTCACTACTTCCGACTCCTGCCTCAGCCTCCCGAGTAGGTGGGATTACAGGCACATGCCCCCACACCCAGCTAATTTTTTGTTGTATTTTTAGTAGAGACAGGGTTTCGCCATGTTGGCCAGGATGGTCTCGATCTCCTGACCTCGTGATCCGCCCACCTTGGCCTCTGAAAGCGCTGGGATTGCAGGTGTGAGCCACTGTGCCTAGCCAGATTTTATTTTTTAAGCAGTTTTAGATTCACTGCAAAATTGAGAGAAAGGTACAGAGAGTTCCCATATACCCCCTATTCCCACATGCACAGCCTCCTCCAGCATCAACCTCCCCCACCAGAGTGGTGCATTTGTTACAGTTGCTGAACCTACATTTGACACATCAGCAGCAGCAAATCAAATTCTATAGTTTACATAAGGGATAAGGGTTCATGCTTGGTGGTGTTGTACATTCCGTGGATTTGGACAACTGTATAATGATGGTATCCATCATTGTAGTAAGGTACATAGTATTTTCACTGCCCTAAAAATCCTCCCTGTTCCATTGATTCAACCCTCCCTTTTCCCCACTCTTAGACAACACTGATCTTTTTACTGTCTCCATAGTTGTCATATAGTTGGAATGATACCATATGTAGCCTCTTCAAATTGGCTTCTTTCATGTAGTGATATGCATTTAAGTTTCTTCCATGTCTGTTCATGGCTTGACAGCTCATTTCTTCTTAACGCTGAATAATCCTGTATTCCGTTGTCTGGACGCACCGCTGTTTATTTCTCTATTCAGTTCCTGAAGGACATCTTGGTTGCTTCCAAATTTTGGCAGTTCTGAATGAAGCTGCTATATCCATGTGAAGGTTTTTGTGTGGACATGAGTTTTCAACTCTGGGTAAATACCAAGGAGTGTGATGACCGGATCGTATGGTAATCGTTAAGAGCAGGTTTAATTTGGTAAGAAATCAACCGTCTTCCAAAGCGGCTGCACCATGTCACATTCCCACCTGCAATGACAGAGTTTCTGCTTCACATTCTCAACAGCATCTCAGTGTTCTAGGTTTTGGCTATTCTAATGGGTGTGTAGTAGTTGAATATTTTTTTCAAGTTGGATAAGTTGATTGTAGAATAATCTAAATTCACTACTAGGAAATTCTCCCTTCTGTCTGAAACTGCCAAAGTGATGTTGTCTCTGGTTGGATATAACCAGATATAAACATTTCTAAAGCAACATTGTAACCAAAAGAGGAATTAAAATTCCCGATGAACTGATTGGTAAGGAGGGGAGACTGGACAATAGTGAGTGATTTAAGGGAAGTCGGTCTTCTTCAGTCACTAACAGGAGAATATGAATAATGTAGAAACCAGCAAAATTAAAAACTGAAATAGTAAAAAGGAGGAAAAGCTGCTTCTGTTTTGGTTCTTCATAAAGCCTTTGACACAAACATATATGCCATATTATTTTGTGGAAAAATACATCTGTTTTAAGAAATACTGAAGTGTTGATATTAACATGTCATTTTTGAAGTAGTACTAAAAGTCATCAAAGCTTAAGACTTTTGAGCAAGGATTTCATTTCATTCCCACAAGAGTGCCATGTCCCCATTTTGTAGGTAGAACACCAAAGCTTAGAGAGGTTAATCAACTTACCCAAAGCCACACAGCCAGGAAGTGGTGAGACACTGGAATTGCATTCCAAATGTGTTTTCTGTTTCCAGTGATGAGGAAATGAAAGCCCAGAAGATCAAGCGGACTTGCCCAAGGCTGTTATAGCTTGTGGCC